TATATATATATATATATAGTACTACCCTGAAATTGTAAAAAAAGTTACCTAGAAGAAACAAAATAAGGTCTCAAAACAAAGCAGTCAAAAAACTCCAAATCTGTACGATTACTCACTTGAAAAGGCTGATAAATGCTGCTTTTTTAAAAAAAAATCTTAGACAGTTATACCAAACACTTGCTCAAAAGCAAAGTTTATTATCTAAATAATTTTGAAGTCATAGAATAACGAAAACTAACAGAATGAAAAAAGATTAGTTTAAAAAGCCCCTAAAACCCCAAAAGGTTTCTCTAAAAGAAAAATAAATTACAAGCCCGTAATCTAAGGAAAAGTGTCGAGTAAATAGAAAGCATAGAATGATGACACAAATATAAGAGAATCCACAAAGAAAGGGTAGAAAAGCTAAAAAACTAGATTTTTGCTTTAAAATGTCAAGTTATAAAACACACTAAATTTGATAAACAAGAGTTATAAAAATTACAGCCTAACAGAAAAGCTTAACATCAAAACAACATTCACTCATAAAAATATTAATTCTGAACACCTATATGTACCCGCATGGTTGAACTACTGTAAATATTTGGTAAAGATGAGTTACTTTTCTCATAGGTCAGCCGTGTTTATCAATTAATGTAACTTTAAAAAACCTTGTGGACAAGATTTATCAGTTTCACAAGATATGAAAGCCGCACGCACTTGATTTAGGAAATACTGCTGTCTTTTTGTAAGCAACTAAATCCTTTTTTTTCAGGAACGCCTCAAGTAATTTCAATTTCCCGAAAATATACAAAGCTGAAGCTGTTATAAAAAAAACAATTATTTTCAAGAAAAAAAAGATAGATATGTACAGAACGGGAATGTGAACAATCTTCCTACTTACAATCATTTCATGTCGTAGTCGAACTGCTTCTGGAAACAGCAGAAAATGTGTATCAAAAATTTCAAAAAATGACACAATGGCAGTAAACAGCTAATACCCCACAATTTCCTAAATATACGTATCAACTTGACTAGCCCCCAAACAACAGATAGATACAAAAGTACAACCGGTACACATTTTCAAACAGCATTGCATAGCGTTGAAAATGAGACAGAACAAAAAGAGTTTGAGTCAGTGTTAAGCAGAACTTTATGAACAATTCAACTCAATCACAGCCTAGTATTATTTCAAATACAGCTCATAAAAAGTTGATTTGGCGAAAACAACGACCTTACGATAATGATAGGTCTAAAATTTGCTCTTAAATCAAATTTTTGCAAAGCCTTTGGAAAGAAAACCTGGAAGAGAAACAAAGATACAGTTACGTACACAACTCAATTAATTTATTAAGCAAACCCTTCTTCTTGAACAACTACTCAATACTACCAAAAATTCTTTGAAAACACCCAATTTTTCTGCTTTTAAACTTTTCTAAAAAACTAAGCACAAAGTATCTAAAACAAATTTAAAATTAGTCTGATTCGTACTAATCATCTATCCAGATAAAACGGTAGCAGAAGCTCTTTACAAAAAGAATAATCAACCACTAAGTCGATTCCAGCAAAAACAAATTGCACCAAATGACTAAAAACGAAAAAACTTTTTGGACAATGGCACTGCAAACCTGGGAGCAGATTTGATATGCGTAGAAATTAAATCCTTTGCTTTATTACTGATTGAATCGAAATTCTGTGATGCGTAGTCAAAAGTTTGACTGACAGGTGTTTCTGGCGAAACAGTTCGCCCTGAATATGGTGTACCAGGTGGAGTAAGAATAGAAGCAGCATTAACAAAGACTTCAATCGGTGATTGAATATTGCGGTTTTGCGCAGCATTCTCTGCGGTAGATAGATTTTCAATCTGACTCGTAATCATCGAACTCCTTCTGCTCATCGCTGGATGATGCGTAAGCAAGGTCAAGTTTGAGTCTAGCTCTTCTACAGAAGCCATACGAGCAAACTTCTTCCGGTCCCAGCATGCCGATGACATTACCATTTTCTAGTTACCACATTTACGACAACCGGCCTTCCTCTAACAATTCATCCACAGACTGAATTTAAAATTTTAGAAATACAGTAAACAAAAATGATAATGGAACAAAAGGAAACCGAATTGTAAAGACAAGACGAGTAAAGAGCGCAAAACTATTACAACCCAGCAAATATCACAATACTTTTTTCTCCCCTAAAACTCTGATAAATAAAAACTTTTTTTATTA